GGTTATCCCCGTCCAGAATGACTTGTACAGACATCTAGCGGTTACAGCATCCTCCTCTCCCGCTCCCCTTGCACTGAGCCCTTCTCCCTCTGGTGGCAACGGGAAGGTCCGGAGCCCCTCCAAGCCCTGTGACACCACCGACAAGCTGCAGAAACCTACGTAGCTATGACAGCAACCTGTCATCTCCCAGCGGCTGAGCCCCTCCTGCCCCGGGGGATGCGCCGGTCACCCCAGCCCTGCGCTTCGCTTGCAGGAGCGTCTCCTCCCCGCAGCTGGTATTTTGCTCACTGCTGCTTCTTTCCAAACCCCAGAAGGAAGCAACCTAAGGCAGCAGAGAAGCGTTGGAGAGGCTGGATGGTAGCTATCTGCTGGGGGTGTAACGCTCTGTAACAATTTGGGAAGGAGGGAGGAAGCAAACGTTCCCTTTGTAGTGGGTGTTATAAAGCCAAGGAAGAGGTATTGCATGCGAGAAGAAATTATTGCATGCAGATGCACAGCGTGAGGCAGAGCATTGCATCTGCCTGCTCCGGAGAGGCTGACGGGCACAGGAGCAGACACCAGCCTCCTCCTCAGCCCGCTCCCCAAGGAATGGCACCCAGCATCCATCCCTCCCTCCCTCCGCCCCAAGCCCCCCTCCGGCGGCCTGCCCGCAGCCCCCGGGCCGGGGTCTCCGCGGGCCCCGGGCCGGGGTCCCCCCCGCAGCGGGTGCCCGCAGCCACACGAGGGTGCTGCAGCCCCGCACAGCGCAGCCCGCGGCCGCCCAGCGGGGTCGGGGGTGCGGAGCGAACCCCGCATCGCGCTGCTCCGCTCCACCCCTCCCCACACGGGGCCAGGGACCCCCCACACGGGGCCAGGGACCCCCGCCGGCTCCCTCTTCCCTGCCTGGGGCTGGCAACCGCATGGCACCCACCTCGCAAACAGGGGACATCGCACAGCTCGGGCAGGAAAAAACCCGGTGGCTCAAGTTTTCCTTGTGCCAGCTTCATCCTCGCGTATGCCAGAGAGGAGCAGGGAAACACCATTAGCTTTTCCAGGGGACTAACCCCTGGGATGTCCGTATCTGTGGAGCTGCCTCTTTGTGCTCTCCTTTCAAGCCAAGGGAATCCCAATTCCTCAAGAGGAACAGGGAGGTTTGCATGGCAAACCCCTACAGCATGAGATGCTAGAGATGGGAGATTTGGGGAGGGCAGAGAAGGCAGAGCGACCTGTGTCACAGGAGAGATGCTCAAGGGGGGATCTTTATCCCAGACCGCACAAGGGGGAAGGCCTGGATGGACAGGAGGGACCTGGGAAGCGGCACAGGCAGGTAAGGAAGGGGTAATCCAAAGCTCGGGGGTAGGAGGGATCCTGGGGCTAAACTGGCTGGAAGTGTGGGAGGGGAAGCGGCTTGTGCTGGGTCTCCGCTTGCTTTTTCCCCACCTCCAGACACCTTGGGCGCAGCAGGGCGGAGGGAAGACACATACTGGCACTGTGAATCGTATTCCAATATTTAAACACAAAACTCCGTTGTTCTGCAGTCCCGGGTGGGTTTCGCAGCGTTACCATTTCAGGTTTGAGCCAGATGTGAAAGCCAAATTGTTGGCACATACAACACGCACACCAAAACCGAGAGACTGGTAGATGCCACCACCATCCCCGCTCTCCTGGAACTACAGGAGACCATGGGCACATCCTTAGCCCGCACC